TGCTTGATGTGGAAAGTCTTCTTGGGGCCTGGGATGGGGGTGAGGGAGGAGGTATGGGGGCAGGTGTAGCACTTCCTGCGGTTGCAGGGAAAAGTGCCGGGTGTGGTGGGGCTGGAGGGGAGTGTGGAGCGGACAAGGGAGTCACGGAGAGACTGGTCCCTCCGGAAAGCAGATAAGGGTGGGGAGGGAAAGATGTCTTTGGTGGTGGGGTTGGATTGCAGATGGCGGAAGTGTCGGAGGATGATGCGTTGGATCCGGAGGTTGGTGGGGTGGTACGTGAGGACGAGGGGGATTCTTTTTTGGTTCTTATTGCGTGGACGGGGTGTGAGGGATGAGTTGCGGGAGATGTGGGAGACACGGTTGAGGGCGTTCTCGACCACTGAGGGGGGGGAAGTTACGGTCCTTGAAAAAGGAGAACACCGGAGATGAACGGGAGTGGTATGCCTCATCCTGGGAGCAGATGCGGCAGAGGTGAAGGAATTGGGAATAGGGGATGACATTTTTGCAGGAAGGTGGGTGAGAGGAGGAGTATTCTAGGTAGCTGTGGGAGTCGGTGGGCTTGAAATGAATATCGGTTTCCAGGTGGTTGCCCGAGATGGAGACAGAGAGGTGCAGGAAGGGGAGAGAGGTATTAGAGATGGTCCAGGTAAACTTAAGGTTGGGGTGGAAGGTGTTGGTGAAGTGGATGAACTGTTCGAGCTCCTCGTGGGAGCACGAGGCGGTGCCGATACAGTCATCAATGTAACGGAGGAAGAGGTGGGGTTTAGGGCCGGTGTAGGTACGGAAGAGGGATTGTTCCATGTATCCTACAAAGAGGCGGGTGTAGCTTGGGCCCATGCGGGTACCCATGGCCACCCCCTTTGTCTGTAGGAAGTGGGAGGAATTGAAAGAGAAGTTGTTGAGGGTGAGGATGAGTTCGGCTAAGCGGATGAGGGTGTCAGTGGAGGGGGACTGGTCAGGCCTGCGGGACAGGAAGAAGCGGAGGGCCTTTAGGCCATCTGCATGGGGAATGCAGGTGTATAGGGACTGGACGTCCATGGTAAAGATGAGGTGTTGGGGACCGGGGAATTGGAAGTTCTGGAGGAGGTGGAGGACGTGGGTGGTGTCATGGACATAGGTAGGGAGTTCCTGGACCAAGGGGGAGAAAATGGAGTCCAGATAGTTGGAGATCAGTTCGGTGGAGCAGGAGCAGGCGGAGACAATGGGTCGACCAGGGCAGTCAGGTTTGTGGATTTTGGGAAGGAGATAGAAGCTGGCGGTGCAGGGTTGGGGAACGATGAGGTTGGAGGCAGTGGGTGGGAGGTCACCTGAGGTGATGAGGTTGTGGATGGTTTGGGAGATGATGGTTTGGTGCTCGGGGGTGGGGTCATGATCAAGGGGGCAGTAGGAGGAGAGGTGCCATCCCCCACAGAACGTGCAGCCCTATGCTCCCTCCGCTCCAATCCCAACCTCACCATAAAACCCGCAGACAAGGGAGGCGCAGTTGTAGTATGGCGCACTGACCTCTACATCGTCGAGGCCAGACGCCAACTCTCTGACACCTCCTCCTACCGCCCCCTTGATCATGACCCCACCCCTGACCACCAAACCATCATCTCCCAAACCATCCACAACCTCATCACTTCAGGTGACCTCCCACCCACAGCCTCTAACTTCATCGTTCCCCAACCCCGCACCACCCGCTTCTATCTCCTTCCCAAAATCCACAAACCTGAATGCCCTGGTCGACCCATTGTCTCCGCCTGCTCCTGCCCCACCAAACTTATCTCCAACTATCTGGACTCCATTTTCTTCCCCTTGGTCCAGGAACTCCCTACCTACGTCTGTGACACCACCCACGCCCTCCACCTCCTCCAGAACTTCCAATTCCCCGGTCCCCAACACCTCATCTTTACCATGGACATCCAGTCCCTATACACCTGCATTCCCCATGCTGATGGCCTAAAGGCCCTTCGCTTCTTCCTGTCCCGCAGGCCCGACCAGTCGCCCTCCACTGATACCCTCATCCGTTTAGCCGAACTCATCCTCACCCTCAATGACTTCTCTTTCAATTCCTCCCACTTCCTACAGACAAAGGGGGTGGCCATGGGTACCCGCATGGGCCCAAGCTATGCCTGCCTCTTTGTAGGATACATGGAACAATCCCTCTTCCGTACCTACACTGGCCCTAAACCCCATCTCTTCCTCCGTTACATTGATGACTGTATTGGCGCCGCCTCGTGCTCCCACGAGGAACTCGGACAGTTCATCCACTTCACTAACACCTTCCACCCCAACCTTAAGTTCACCTGGACCATCTCTGATACCTCTCTCTCCTTCCTGCACCTCTCTGTCTCCATCTCTGGCATCCACCTGGAAACCGATATCCATTTCAAACCTACCAACTACCACAACTACCTAAAATACACCTCCTCTCACCCACCTTCCTGCAAAAAGGCCATCCCTTATTCCCAATTCCTTCGCCTCCGCCGCATCTGCTCCCGAGATGAGGCATTCCACTCGCGGACATCCCAGATGTCCTCGTTTTTCAAGGACCGCAACTTCCCCTCCACAGTGGTCGAAAATGCCCTCGACCGTGTCTCCCACATTTCCCGCAACTCATCCCTCACACCCCCTACCCGCAATAACAACCGAAACAGAATCCCCCTCGTCCTCACATACCACCCCACCAACCTCCGAATCCAACGCATCATCCTCCGACTTTCCGCCATCTGCAATCCGACCCCACTACCAAAGACAATTTTCCCTCCCCACCCTTATCTGCTTTCCAGAGGGATCACTCTCTCCATGACTCCCTTGTCCGCTCCACACTCCCCTCCAGCACCACCATCCCCGGCACTTTTCCCTGCAACTGAAGCAAGTGCTACACCTGCCCCTACCCCTCACCCCCATCCCAGGCCCTAAGAAGACCTTCCACATCAAACAGATGTTCACCTGCACATCTGCTAATGTGGTATACTGTATCCGCTGTTCCTGTTGTGGCCTCCTCTACATTGGGGAAACCAGGCGGAGGCTTGGGGACCGCTTTGCGGAACACCTATGCTCAGTTCGCAACAAACAACTACACCTCCCAGTCGCGAACCATTTCAACTCCCCCTCCCACTCCTTGGATGACATGTCCATCCTGGGCCTCCTGCATTGCCACAATGACGCCACCCGAAAGCTGCAGGAACAGCATCTCATATTCCGCTTGGGAACCCTGCAGCCCAAGGGTATCAATGTGGACTTCACAAGCTTCAATATCTCCCCTCCCCCGACCGCATCCCAAAACCAGCCCAGCTCGTCCCCGCCTCCCTAACCATTCCTCCCACCTCAAGCCCCACCCCCATCTACTACCCACTAACTGCATCCTGCCTCCTTGTCCTGTCCGCCATCCCTGGACCGACCTATCCCCTCCCTAACTCCCCACCTACATTCACCTTTACTGGCTCCAACCCCATCTCTTTGACCTGTCTGTCACCTCTCCACCTATCTTCTCCTTTATCCATCTTCTATCCGCCTCCCCCTCTCTCCCTATTTATTTCAGAATCCCCTTCCCCTCCCCCATTTCTGAAGAAGGGTCTCAACCCGAAACGTCAGCTTTCCTGCTCCTCTGATGCTGCTTGGTCTGCTGTGTTCATCCAGCTCTACACCTTGTTATCTCAGATTCTCCAGCATCAGCAGTTCCTACTATCTCTTGTACAATATGTTTGTGATTTGGACAGAAGGGAGGTGAACCTTGGTACCATGTATCAAGGGAAAGGATTCAATACTGGAGAATGTGTTTATCTAACTTTTGGCATCCAATGTCAGAACCTATTTCTTTCCGAGCAAACTTTATATATTAAATATAAATAGCATTTTATATATTTAGCTGAAAATCCCTCTCAACTATCCTCCTCAGAGTACCCATTCGGTACCAGTCTGACGTTTCAATTTCAACACCCACTATTCTTCTCTGTAAACTGAGTCAGATTGTCGGTGTCAAATACCTTAGATATAAAAATTTCCATCAAGTGAACTTGGTTTCTTTGTTATTTACACTAGTGCATGAAGCAGTTTAGCTTTCTGTTTACATCTTAATTTGCTTTCATGCAGTAATGTCAATACTAAATAGTGGCAATTTTTTACAATGCAAATAGATCTATTAAGGAATAGATAGAGGATGTTAAATATGGGTTGGAGCAGTGTTGCTGAGATTGGAGTACAGAACCCAGATCTGGTCTGTTTCCCTGTCTTTGTAACTATCCAAGGTAAGACTGCTAGGTAGTACACTTTCCAGTTCCTGTAGTTTTATTTTAATCCTCAGATTTGTTGGCCTTGAGTTTCCATTTTCTGAAACAGTGTTGTCACCTTAATGAGTAATGCATTAAATGCCAATAATTGTTAGAATTCGATGTCAATGGGGAAGTACCTTTTTTTGTGACCTATTTCCCAGTCGAATTCAATTGATGGAAGAGTTTTAGCAGCGCATTGTATTCAACATCTTTAACAACTGTTTTTACATTTTCTTAAATGGTTTTAATTTAGTGAAGCAGAGTTTGTGTGATCAGTTTGAAAATCTGTGTGTGATGACCATAACGGTTTCTTCTGATTCTATGCCTCTTGCCTATTGGCACATAAACATCAAGCAGTGGGATATACTTTGGGCTTGTGTTTTTTTTAAGCATTAATTATAACCAAGTTTGAAAACTGCGTCCACCAGCTTTGTAATAGCTTTCATGATCATGGGGTTTATTTAATGCATGGTGCCATTTTCCAACATGTCTGAATCCATTTGCCACCTATCATTTTCATACTTACTGCAAATACCAATTCTGGTTGGAGCTTATGAATAAAATTCAATACAATGACATTGTTGGTTACAATGGGCTGATGCTTTAGAATGTTCCCATCAGCCTACATTCTGGTTGTTATACTGTCATTTATAATCACAGTCCTCAATAGTGCCCTCTGATAGGTAAAGATTAGAAAGAGCTCATATGGAAACCGGGCATACTATGATTCTGTCCTCCAACATCACGCTGATGATTAAAAACGTAAAGTAGAGGCAAAACATGGTGAAGCCCAAGAATTTGTTCATCTTCCACTTTGAGAAGCCAATGGAAATGATTACAAACAGCAACATCAGGAAGAGTAGAACAATGGCACAGAACAGGCCATTACTGCTGACTGGAACCGCAGTGAATCTGTGAAAGGTAGCATACAGCAACCAGGGCACAGGAAGCCTGTTAAAGAGAAGGAAAAGAATCCCAGAGAAGATTAAAAGGTGAGTGTAATTTGTGAGAGAAAGTGATTGTGTGGAAGGTAATAATGAATGTTACAAAGTGAGTGATCATTTGGGCTGTGCATTGAGGCTATCAGTGTTATTTCATGCTTTAAAATTCCTGCAGACTGAACTTGGCTGGAGACCAGGAGTGAGGTAAGCAATTGATAACTCATTGAGGAAAATCGTAGCTCACAAACTTGATCAAGTTTTTTAATGAAGTAACCAAAAAGATTGAGGGCAGAGTGGTTGACATTGTTTACTTAGACTTTAGTGAAGTCTTTGACAGGTTCTACATAGTAAACTAATTAGTAAAGTTAGATCACATGGGATTCAGGGTGAGCTTACCAATTGGATAGATGGTTGGAGACAGAGGGTGTGGTGGAGGGTTGTTTTCATAAAGCCTGTGATCAGTGGTGTTCCACAGGGATTGGTACTGGGTCCACTTTTGTTTGTCACTTTTATAAATGATTTGGATGAGAATATAGAAGGCATGGTCAGTAAGTTTGCAGATGACACCAAAATTGGTGCTACAATGGACAGTGAAGAAGGTTATCTAAGATTACTAAGAGATGTTGATCAGTTGGGTCAATAGGCTGAGGAGTGGCAGATGAAGTTTAATTTGGATAAATGTGAGATATTGGTAGAACAAACAAGGTCAGGACTTGTACAATTAATGGTAGAGTACTCTGTAGTGCTGTAGAACAGAGACACCACTGGGTTTACGTACATAATTCTTTGAAATTTGCATCACAGGTAGGCAGGGTGGTTAAGAAGATGTTTAGCACGCTTGCCTTTATTGCTCAGACCTTTGAGTATATGAGTTGGGAGATCACATTGAGGTTGTACACGATGTTAATGAGGTCCATTCTGGCATATTATGTGCAGTTCTGGTTGCCCTATTATAGGAAGGATATTATTAAACTGAAGAGGGTTCAGAAAACATTTACCAGGATGTTGCCAGGAATGCATATACACTGGAAAGGCTGGGACTTTTTTCACTGGAGTGTAGGTGGTTGAGGGGCGACCTTATTGAAGTTTATAAAATCATGAGGGGCATAGATAAGGTGAATAACAAGGGTCATTCTCTCGGATGGGGGAGTTCAAAACTAGAGGGCATATTTTTAAGGTGAGAGGAAAAAGATTTAAAAAGGACATTGTGCAACAAAAAATTGCCCAGAGTGAAAAGAACTGCCAGAGAAGGTGGTGGATGCAGGTACATTTACAACGTTTAAAAAAGTTTTGGATAAGTACATGAATAGGAAAGGTTTTAAGGGAAATGGGCCAAGGTCAGGCAGGTGGGAACTAGTTTAGTTTGGGATTGTAGTTGGCATGGACTGGTTGGACGAAGGCGTCTGTTTCTGTGTTGTATGACTCTTGAGTTCAAGCCAAAATAGACTTGCATTCCCTCAACCTCAGATGCAGACCAACACGTTAGAAAAGTCATTACTATTGTGACTGGAGTTGGAGGGCAGAGGCACCAGGGTGCCTTAAATTTAAAATGCCCATCATTGTGTTCAAGCTTCTATATAGTCTCATCATCCATAATCTCACCAGCAACAGGCCTACAGCCCTTTTTGCTACCTCTCATCTTTAAGATGTTTGAGGAGGTGGAGGGTGGGGAGAGGAGGAGTGCTAATCACACAAGTGATCTTTAACTTGTCCGTTATCTTCAGTTGAAGAAATACAACTGCCACAGTATATGTTGTAAATAAGACCCCTCCCCAAACCCACTTTAAAATGAAACCTCTCCCCAGTCCCACACGGCAAACCCAATATTCACAGCTGAAAGATCAATACTTGCCCAACTGTGATGTCAAAGATGTTGCTTCCCACTGAGCTGGACACTGCCATGTCCCCCAGACCTTTGCGAGCGACAATGACACTAGTGATGAGGTCAGGGATAGAGGTGCCCGCAGCAAGGATGGTTAAACCCATTATCTCTTCAGAAATACCAATTGTCTCACCAACCTAGAGATAAAGCAAATTGCTGTATAATGCCTGAACTTGCATAAGACCTGGAGAGATGCCAGTCTTCATCTACATAACTCTGGAGTAGGAAGGAATTATGATCTTGGTGGCAAGTTCCAACTACTATAGTATGTTATACAGACTTAAAGTTTGACTTACTCTCAACTGGGCAGAGGTTAGGCACTAAAATTGGCCTCAGTGTCAGTGTAACTGATTGTGAAATGTCAGTCAGAGTTCCTTCACCAGTGATGCCTACCCGAAGAGGCACCCATCCAATGACATTGATTAACAGCAGGAAGAGATGCAACAGCAAAACAGCTGCTTGGACAGAGTGCCAGAGAGCTGCGGGGACCCACTGACACATTTCCTGCATCTTCCATGGAGAGTCAATACTTTCAAGTTAGAATGAGAAAGAAATGTTTAAAAGGATCTATTGACGTATTTCACCTTTATTCATCAGGATCAGTGTTGGGTCCACTGCTTTTCATCATTTGTATAAATGATTTAGATGTGAATATAGAAGGAATAGTTGGTAAGTTTGCAGATGACACCAAAATTGGTGGCATAGTGGACAGTGAAGAAGGTTATTTCAGAACGCAACAGGACCATGATCCGATGGGCCAAGGAGAGGCAGGTGGAGTTTAATTCAAAAATTGTGAGGTGTTGTATTTTGATAACGCAAATCGGGGCAGGACTTATACACTTAATAGCAAGGTCCTGGGGAGTGTTGTTGAACAAAAAGACCTTGGGATGCAGATGCATAGTTCCTTGAAGGTGGAGTCGCAGGTAGATAGGATAGTGACGAAGGCATTTGGAACGTTTGCCTTCATTGGTCAGTGCATTGAGTATATAAGTTGGGATGTCATATTGCAGACATCGATTTGGAGGACTGTGTTCAATTCTAGTCTCCCTGTTATGGGAAATGGGATGTTAAACTTGAAAGGGTTCTGAAAAGATTTTCAAGAATGTTGCCACGATTGGAGGGTTTGAACTATAGGGAGAGGCTGAATAGGCTGAGACTATCTTCCCTGGATCGTTGGAGGCTGAGGGGTGACCTTTATAGTGGTTTACAGAATCATGAGAGGCATGGATAGGGTGACTAGCCAAGATCTTTTCCCCGGGGTGGGGGAGACCAGAATAAGAGGGCATAGGTTTAAGGTGAGAGGGGAAAGATTTAATAGAGACCTAAGGGGCAACATTTTCACACAGAGGCTGGCGTGTGTATGGAATAAGCTGCCAGAGAAAGTGGTGGAGGCTGGTATAATTACAACATTTAAAAGGCATCTGGCTGGGTACATGAAAAGGAAGGGTGTAGAGGGATATGGACCAAATGCTCACAAATGAGAGATATCTGGTTGGCATGGACAAGTTGGACCAAAGGGTCTGTTTCTGTGCTGTATGACTCTACATCAAACTAACTGCTATAACATCTGCTGTTCAATTGCAGTGTATGGAATCTCAGAAAGCATGGAATCTCAGAAAGCATGCCCAGTTCCCTCACTCAACTTTACAGATTTCTGCTGAACCACTTACTCGCATTTCTCATTGAATGAAATTCATATCCCCGAGAGGATTACAAACAAATAACTTAAGTGCTTAAATGTTTTATAGTTGATTGGCACATGCTAAATATAATTCAAGCAGCATTAAATCGCAACTGAAGGCTTCAGTAAGTAGTTATATTTAACTATATCTGTGAAGAATATATTGCTATTCATTACATTAAGTTGGTTTTGAAATGTTGAACCGCTCAGTAATTTGACAGATGGAGACCACGCAGATATTAAACTATACATTACAGGAATCCTGTTCTTAAAGAACCATTTTTCTCCAAGTGATGGAGGATTTGTTCCAGTTAGAAGTATATGCAAAGTCACCTCATGTGGTATTTATATTCCAGCCACTCCCACAGCAAGGATTGAATTTGTGAAGGAAAGTAACCTGTCACTGACACAGCACATACCTGGTGGGCCCACCACACCATCAAATATGAAAAAGCACCAATCCACAGAATAGATCCAAAAAAGGTCCCAATAAAGTATTTCTTTGAAGCCTGTTGGAAACAAAAATAATGTAAATCACAGATATTCTGTCCTTTAAAATCTTAAAGAAATGTAACCTTTTAAACTGAGGATCATTAATTTAGCTTGTATTTTTTAAAGTCAAAATGGTAGAGAAGGAATCAGTTTGGTCCCTTAAGGTTATTCTGTCTTTCTGAAGAAATATAGTCAGTTCCATTCTCTCAGGTGCCTAACGACTTTTCTTTATTAACTCATTAATTATCTCTGCTTCCATCACCCTCTTTAGGCAGCAAGGTCCAGCCCATTACTACATGTTGCGTTAAAAAGAAACCTTCCTCACATCTCCCTGTATTGCTTGCTCTAAACAATAAATCTATGCCTCCCATTCTTTGTACAAGTAACTATTGGGAACAGTATTTGTTTATTTCAGGTTTAGATAAAGAAGATGAGGAGACTTTATGGTCTTGGAAACCTCTGTCTAAGATCCTTTACTTAATCCTGGTTTATCTAATTTAACCTCATAGATAAATTTTCCCATTCCTGACACCATTCTGATAAACCTCCTTTGCCCCTTTATCAAGGACCTTGATTTCCTTCCTGAAATGTGGTGACCAGAACTTTCACAGATTCTGATGTTCACTGCATCATTTGATATAATGTCAGGTTCAAGAACTTTCTCCTTGCTAATGTCTGATTTTCCACACGATCTTTTCTCACTTACTGCGTTTCGTACATCAGGCACCGTTAGCCAGAGCGGGAACACGATAGGAAGTAGGCACAGGTAAGTGACCTGTTTCCGTCGGGTGTCTGGCCATTCAAGACTCAAAGGTTCTTCTTCATTGGTTTCCTCTTCTTCCTCTTCTTCATTATCCTCCTCATCACTATCTTCATCACTGTCATCATCCTCGTCACTATCTTCAGAATCACTATCACTGCCATCATTTTCATCACCATCATTATTTCCAGCATCTTCACACTGATCATTTGTTTCCTACAGCCAAATTAGAAATGGAAGTATTTATTGAAAACATTTACTACAGATTTCTGACATTTGAACTGAACCAGCCATACAAAAATACAGTGGCTACTGGAGCAGCTCAGAGGCTAGGAATCCTGCAGTGAGTATCTCACCTCCTGTCTCCCCTCTTGCCTGGATGGGTGCAGCTACAACAACACTCAAGAAGCTTGACAACATCCAAGACAAAGCAGCCCACTTGATTGACACCACATTCACAAACATCCACTCTCCACCACTGACACTCAGTAGCAGCAGTGTATACTATCTACAAGATGTACTGCAGAAGATCACCAAAGATCCTCAGACAGCACCTTCCAAACCCACGACCACTTCCGTCTAGAAGGACAGGGCAACAGATACATGGGAATACCACCCCCTGCAAGTTCCCCAAGTCACTCGCCATATCTGTATCAATATTAATATTTCTTCACAGTCATTGGATCAATATCAGGCAGCTCGCCACAATTTCCCCCAGGCAGCTGGGAAGAAGCAATAAACATCGGTCCAACCTGTGATACCCATATCCCATGAACTAATAAAAATTTTTTTTTTGAAAAGGTGGCTCCGAATTGTGAGTCAAACTTTGCCTGTTTAAGCAAGTGCTATTGTGTACAAAGCACATGTACTGGAAGGGCTGAATTCAATTCTCAATGATACTTTCCTTGAGTCAGAATGAACTCAACACTTCAGTTATGCAAAGTTCAAATAAATTTCTGATATAGTCAGATAAAACCAGGCCAAGTTCATCAAGAAAGAAGGAATGGAATTTTACACCGTGCTGTTACACAGGGTGAAGGGCTGTAACTGTTTCCTACACACCTTCACTGGTGCCCATAACACGGGCTGAGACCATTAAGTGAAAGCCGACAGTGTTGTGAGTTGCAGAAGGTGCCTCCTGTTTGAGTACCTTGTGTTCAACTGAGGGCCTTGTCTCATCACTCCTCATTCACAAGTTTTCTTGCCACTGACCCCAACACCTCATGCCAGGACCTGCTGGACTAGTCCTGGTGAAACCCTGAATCCACAACCGTGCCACCTCACCTTGTTATCCATCTCCAGTTTTGCTCTTCACTGGCTGCAGTTCCAGCAGTGGCCTCTTGTCTTGGTAGCACAACTGGGACTGGAGAGTCACTGGCCAATCAGAAACAGAGCGCCTCCTAATTGAGGTCAGGAGTCTTGACTTGAGCAGATTAACAGCTTGACGGCCCCAAATTAAACTGGGCTTTCCAGCCACTTGGAGGTGAGTTCAGACCTGGCTTTTAGATGAGTGTGGGACCGTCACCTCTAGTTAAAATTCAACTCAAAGAAACAATACACCACGCTGTCATTGATCAAGTATACTCTTTGTAATTCCCTGTTACATTTCACTCACCATGACCTCCAGAAGTTTGCTACTATCTTCCTTGCTATTTACAATGTTTCTAAATTTGAATCCTCATAGAAATCATTCTATATATATCCAAGTGTAGGTCATTATTATATCTCAATAAAGCAGCAATCCCAATGCTACCCTGGAAAACATCACTATGCAACTCACTCACACCTGAACAGGACCCACTCCCCACAACTCTCTCCTAATCGTGTGTTTTAGCTACTTTTGGACCCACTCAGCCTACTGTCCCTTTGATTCAATGGGTTGCTAATAAGCCTATTGTGTGGCACTTTATTGAACACCAAAACATCTACATAAACCAAATTAATTGCACTATTCTCATCCAGCCTCTCCCACCTTTCATCAGAACTCAAACTTGAGACTTTGTCTTTGGTGATAAACTTGAAATCCAAACTGAATTTTCAACATTTCCCACGTTTTCACGCAAGACATTTGCTAGAAAAGTTGTCTGCCTCCCATTCAAATTACCTAAGCTTGTTTTCTGGACAACTTTTCTCATAATGCCTTCTTTCTCACGGGTATAATGGGAAAGGCCTGAACCAAGAACAAATTAGATTCATAGAGCTGGACAGTATGGAAACAGATCCTTTGGTCTAATTTGTTCATGCTGACCAGATATCCTAAATTAATCTTGTCCCATTTGCCAGCATTTGGCCCATATACCTTTAAATCCTTCCTATTCATTTAGCCATCCAAATGCCTTTTAAATGTTGTAGTTGTACCAGCCTCCACCACTTTCTCTGGCAGGTCAGTCCATACACACACCACCCTCTGTGTGAAAAAAGTTACACCTTAGGTCCCTTTTAAATCTTTCCCCTCTCACCTAGTTCTGGTCTTCCCCCACCCTGGGGAAATGACCTTGGCTATTCAACCTATCCATGCCCTTCATTATTTTATAAACCTTTATAAAGTCCTGGAGTAGTACTAGAAGATTGGAGGGTGGCAAATGTCATTCCCTTGTTCAAGAAAGGGAATCCTGGAAATTACAGACCAGTCAGTCTTACTTCTGTGGTGGGCAAATTATTGGAGAGGATTCTGAGAGATAGTATTTATGATTATTTGGAAAAACACAGTTTGATTAGAAATAGTCAGCATGGCTTTGTGAGGGGCAGGTCATGCCTCACAAGCCTTATTGAATTCTTTGAGGATGTGACAAAACACAACGATGAAGGTAGAGCAGTGGATGTGGTGTATATGGATTTTAGCAAGGCATTCGATAAGGTTCCACATGGTTGGCTCATTCAGAAAGTAAGGAGGCCTTGCATTCGGGGAAATTTGGCTGTCTGGATACAAAACTGGCTGTCCAATAGAAGACAGAGGATGGTAGTAGATGGAAAGTATTCAGCCTGGAGCTCGGTGACCAGCGGTGTTCTGCAGGGATCTGTTCTGGGGCCTCTGCTCTTTGTGATCTTTATAAATGACTTGGATGAGGAAGTGGAAGGGTGGGTTAGTAAGTTTGCCGATGACAGGAAGGTTGGTGGAGTTGTGGACAGTGTGGAGGGCTGTTGTAGGTTGCAACAGGACACTGACAGGATGCAGAGCTGGGCAAAGAAGTGGCAGATGGAATTCAACCCAGAAAAGTGTGAAGTGATTCATTTTGGAAGGTCAAGTTTGAATGCAGAATACAGGGTTAATGGCAGGATTCTCGGCAGTGTGGAGGAACAGAGGGATCTTGGGGTCCACATTCATAGATCCCTCAAAGTTACTACCCAAGTTGATAGGGTTGTAAAGAAGGCGTATGGTGTGTTGGCTTTCATTGGCAGGGAAATTGAGTTTAAGAGCCGTGAGGTTATGCTGCAGTTCTATAAAACACTGGTTAGACCACAATTGTAATATTGTGTTCAGTTCTGGTTATAGGAAAGATGTGGAAGCTTTAGAGACGGTGCAGAGGAGATTTTACCAGGATGCTGCCTGGACTGGAGGGCAGGTCTTATGAGGAAAGGTTGAAGGAGCTAGGGCTTTTTTCATTGGAACGAAGAAGAATGAGAGGTGACTTGATAGAGGTGTACAAGATGATGAGAGTGGATAGTCAGAGACTTTTTCCCAGGGCGTAAATGACTATTACAAGGGGCATAATTTTAAGGTGATTGGAGGAAAGTATAGGGGAGATGTCAGAGGTAAGTTCTTCACACAGAGTGGTGGGCGTGTGGAATGCGCTGCCAGCAGTGGTAGTGGAGTCAGATACTTTAGAGACTTTTAAGTGACTCTTGGATAGGCACATGGAGGATAATAAAATGTAGGGTATGTAGGGGAGATTGATCTTAGTCGGATAATAGGTCAGCACAATATCGTGGGCTGAAGGGCCTGTACTGTGCTGTACTGTTCTATGTTCTATGTAAAGTCACCCCTGAGGCTCTGACGCTCCAGGTAAAATAGCACCAGCCTGTTCAGCTTCTCCTTATAGCGCAAACCTTCCAACAAAGTCTCAGAACCTGATATCAGTCAGGCCTGGCATCGTGCTGACACAGCCACTGCATTGTGATACTGTCTTTGTTGCAAACCGCACATGGCACCCCATCACTGCAAAGATACATCCCTCTCAATGCAGGCCTTGGAGCAAAATTCTCTTGATCCATTAACATTTCTTCCTCCCTAGTATTGATCAGAGTAGACGGAGTGGATTCTTTGGGCCCACTCACCTGGTCTTTAATGAGATTTTCTTCATCCTCGGCACCTTCTGTTGGTGATGATGGACTTGATGGGTCAGTTGGGGGAGTCACTTCAACATTCACCATGTTGGGAAAATCTGTTTCCTCTCTTTCTTCTCTTTGCTCCTCTTCCTTCTCTTCTTTTTTCTCCTGTTGTATTTCCTCTCTCTGTTTTTCATCTGTCTCTCCACCTGTGACACAGAAATGACCAGAATCTTCAGAATTTAATTGTTCTGCTGTTTTCTTTATTTCAATAACAGACTTTGGTTGTGGCTCAATGGCCATTCCTGCTCCTATTTATCTGTTTATATTCACAGCCTAAATAATAGACTTCATAATTCACATATATTGACAATTACCTGTTCATTTTAACCCAATAGTAAACGAGGGTGACCAGTATTCCTGCTGAAATATCACCAACAATCTTTGGGAGGCGTGATATGACTCATTTACTGAGGTTTGCAGATCTGACTGCACTACTGTCACTGGCTACTTAGAAAACAGTTGAGCACTTCTACATTTCAAAGCATGTAGCCAGAATACATAACACAAACTTCCTCTTATAGTCTTTTAATCCAATGTTGAAGAGCATTTTATATTTTCAATTTGTATAGTTGGTAAAATAATCTGCTTTCCAAGATGACAGCCAGTTGTATAAGCAGACACACCTACATATACAAATATTGGACAGGCAGCTGATCAACCAATGGCCTATCCTGAGAAATTGAGTTACTTCCTTTTTTAGGTCAAGATTCTTTATCCCTTCGGCATCATGCAGTCTCCCATTAGAGACAGAAATCCAGAATTAGAAACACAGCTCAAATTAGGGAAATGAATTCTGTAAAGTTCCTCCAGGAATGTTTATAGGTGATTGAGATAGTCCAGAGATCAGAGCTGGGAAGGGGCATTTAATCTTTTCTATATATTTCGTCAAATCGTCACACAATCCCAAATCCCAGTGTGTATCACAGGTGGATTTACAGTGATGTTCTTCCTGAAGGATTGAATTGCACAGTATATAAGCACAATGGCCTTTTGACATTAGGGCTTGGATTCCATTATATCTTCATTCTACCAGTTTTGAGAGATTCCATATAATCTGAAGAATCTCAATCTGGTATCGCAGTAAATGGACTCCAGAGTAATGGAATACAAAAAAGTAAGATTTACCAAAGGGGAAGTCAAAATAAATCTTTGAGGGAAAATCATAATTAACAACAATGTTGCTACTTTTATATTAGTAAAGACAAGGTCAAGGGTAATGTGAACCCCCTTTAAAAACTCAAGAGTAATAATTATATCAAATGAAAATCAGGAAATGGCCAGACTTGTTGAATAGTTATTTTGTGCAAGACTTCACAGTAGAGGAAGAGAATTGCAGGCAAACTCATTTTAATCAGGGACTTGAACTCACCAAAGTTAATGTAAGAAAAAAATTGTTAGAAATAAATAAAACTGTGAAGTGTGACAAATCCCAAATATCTGGTTGTTTCTGTCATCAGGATTTAAAGGAACTAGATCAAGAAAATATTGATGTTTTACCATAATCTACCCTCAGTTAAAATAAGTGTCTGTTTGAATTAGAAAATTTCATTTGCAGCTCTAGTATTTAAGTAAAGTGAGCAAGAATGTGTTTAGGAAATTCTAGGCTTGTTCGCCTAAGATTAATGTTATTGAAATGTCTAACTGCAGATATATTAACTGTGCACAAAGAGAAATTTGAGTTAATTAGAGAGCGCCAACATGGATTTGCAAAGGGTAGGTCATGTCTCATGAATTTAATTGAATTCCTTTACAAGTGAACTAAAGTAGTGGATGAGGTTTTTGACATAATTTGTGTGGATTTCCAGAAAGCATTTAAAAATCTTCCATTTAAAGTATAGTTAACTAAATTTAAAACATGTGTAATTTAAGGAAAATGATTAACCTCCCACTCAAGAGATTAGGTAGACAGTGAAAACAGAGTGGGAACAATGGGCATGTTCATGAATTGGAAGGAAGTGACTGATAGTTACCAATAAGAATCTACAATGGGGCCTCAACTATTCACGTTATTAATTAACACAATAACACAGATAACACAATAGAGGGGCCCATATTCAATGTTACTGAAGACACAAAAATTGATGGCAGAGTGATTAGTGTTGATGGGACATAAAAATAACAAAGAGACGTTGATATTTCAGTAAGTTGATGAAATGAAAGTCGATGCAATTTATAAGTTCTTCCACTTTAGGCCAAGGAAAGGACAGCAGCAAGTTTTATTTAAACAGTGAAAAGCTAGAAACAGTGGAAGTCCAAACAGATTTCAGAGTCTGTGTACACATATAAACATAGGACTTTGGGATGGGGAAGGCCATTCACCCCTTGAGCGGTGGGGGCGAAGTTTGAGTGTGTACATTGAGGAACAAACTCGGGACCAGGCTCTCCTAGATTTGGTTTGTGCAATGGTAAGGGATTGATTAATAATTAATGATCTTGTTAATTAATGATCTTGTTTTGAGAGGTCCTTTAGAAGTGATCATAACACACAGGGATAAAAATTAATGTTGTTCAATTCAAGGAATTCCCTCCCTAACAGCAGAGTGGGTCTCCTACAGCACATGGACTGCAGCGGTTCAAGAACGCAGCTCACCACCACCTTCTCAGGTGGGCAACTAGGGACAGGCAACACAAGCTAATAGTTTCCATAAGCATGTTAGAAGAAAAACATAATCAAAGACAAATGTAGGCACCTTAAAATCTGAAAAGGGAAAATTGATAATGAAGAACAAGGAGATGGCAACGTGATAAACAACATATAACCAACATGAACTTATGAAGGTAAATCGTGTTTGACAAACCTCCTGCAGTTTTTGGGGGATGCAAATAGAATAGATAAGGGAGAATCTGTGGATGTAGTGTATTAGGATTTTTGGAAAGCTTTTGATAAAGTCCCACATAAAAAGGTTATTGTGCAACATCAAAGCAATATGGAATTGGGGGCAATATACTGGTGGGACAACACCTGGAGTATGGTGTACAGAATCGGTCTCCTTACCCAAGAAAAGATATATTTGCCATAGAGGGAGTGCAGTGGAGGTTCACCAGACTGATTCCTGGGATGGAAGGTTTGTCAGATTTCATTTTCCATCCCTAGTTGCCCTTGAGAAGGTGATGGTGAGCTGTCCTCTTGAATCATTGTAGTCCATTTGCTTTTGTAATAACTGTCTGTTTTATTGTTCAAACAAACCCTACAACATTGTGTATTTATGTTTTGATGAGAGTCCACTTAGTTAAAATCAAAACATATCAAAATATGATCTCTCAAGCCAGGTTTCAGTCTGGGAACTGTCAGACAGGACCCTTGCTGTTGGACAAGCCTGGGCTACAGGATCGCTCTGAAACATAGTTATTAGAAACTTATAAGTTTTTATTTACAGAAAGACACATTACAGATCAAATACCTGCAGTTCACTAACTAGCATAACTTCAGTCTTCTCCTTTATGTTAGGAAACAAGTAAATCCTCAGTTAATGTCCAAAATTGAAAACACAATAACTTACCAGGACTTTAGGAGTGAACATTCAGGCCAAGGATGGGTGGAGTGTAAATACTCTCCCTCAAAAAAAAATGATTCTACCCAATTAATAATTTTAATCCTGAGATTGATCAATTTTTATTGGGCCAGAGTATTCAGCAAAGGACGGTGGATGGAGTTCAGATTCAGGTTAGCCATGCTATAACTGGATTGGGGAACAGCTTCAAGGGGCTGAATGGCCTGCAGTGTGCACAATGATTCGCCATCTCCAGAAGAATAAAGTTGCCACTCTTGTGGCACAGTGCAACACCCTCTGGGCTGAAGCTTTGCTGAATCATTGGGACACAGCACAGGAAGTTATACCCCACACTGGCCTCATGCTGTATTTACTCAGGAATATCTGAGCTTGAAACTCCACAGCTCAAACATTCACAAACTCTCAAATGGTCTTTAACATAATACACTGTATTCTGCCTCAAATCTGTGCTAATCCTTACTTTTCCTGATATATATTAGTGATCTGAGGATCTTCGTGTACAAGAGACAATTTCAAAGTTTGGAGATGACACTAAAGTTGGGAGAATTGTAAACTGTGAGGAGGACAAATGGACTCCAAATAAAACTCCAAATGGACACTGACAAGTTGGTGGGAGTGAGTGGATAGAAGGCAGGTGGGGCTTAATGCAGAGAGATGAGAGGTGATGCACTTTGGTCAGAAGAACATTGAAAGACCATATAAAATATTATTAAGGTGGTAGGGAAGTAGGGCTCCTGAGCTGGGGCCTGCCCGCTCTGGCCACTTTTCTTACTTTCTCTTGTTTATTTTTCCTCTTGTTTTCCTTACTTACCTCTTGGACCTGAGCTCAGACAGCATCGGCAGTGGTGAGGGATTCCAGCACAGACTCATGGCAGCAGATGGCTGAGCCCCTACTTACTTTCCAGGGCGATCACAGGACCTAGTATTGGAGTCGGCGGAAGCAACATCAGCGAGGTAGGCCCTGAAGTGAGAAATGGGGCCTGAGGATCATGACACCATCGCTGGTTGGATTCGGAGCTAGGGGAAAAGCAGGTGGTGGAAGGGCATCACGGCAACTTTGAGGTCGGCCCAGCAGCATGAGATGTGACTCTGGGTCTGGTGTAGACAGCAGCGAGGCAGTGGAGGAGGGACGGTGGTGCAGGCATCATTTATAATGAGCTTGTTCAGGGTTGATGGACCCTCTTTAAGCTATATGTTTCTATTTTTTTCCTAATTCTTAAACTATTCAAATTGGCGCCAGATCATAGTGACAGTGGAAAACCTTTTCAGTGTATTTTATTGTTTTTCTCACTGTAAAATACACATGACAATAAAATTATCCATTCAAAAAAATATGGGTTATAATTCTATAGGGGGTGCAGGAGCAGAGGGAGCTGGGTGTAACTGTGCACTGACCATTGAGGCAGCAGGACAGATGGAGAGAGCAGTTAATAAAGCACATAGTGTCCTCAGCTTTATTAATGGGGGCATAGAGTACAAGAGCAAGGAGGTGATGTTGAACTCGTTCAAGATATATATTAGACCTCAGGTGGGGTTTTGAGTACAATTCTGGGTGCCAGAAAGATAGGAAAGATGTGAACACATTGGAGAGAGTGTAGGATGGTTACAGGGATGAGGAAGTTCAGTGATGAGGATACACAATGCTGGAGAAACTCAGAAACTTCTGAAGTTCCAAAGAAGACACACATTGGACTTGGATCATGAACTGTGTTTATCTCTCCATATGCTGCCAGAAGTGCTGAGTTGCTCCAGCTTTCTCTGTGTTTATTTCAGATTTATAGCATCTGCAGTATTTTGCTTTTTTGACAAAGTTGGGACTGTTCTCCTTGGAGAGAAGGCTGCGAGGAGATTTGATCGAGGTTTGCAAAATAATGAATGGGCTGGATAGAATAGATAAGGAAAAGATTTTCCCACTTATTAAAAGAACAAAAACAAGTGGGGGATAGGGTTAAAATGGTGTGAGCATGAAGCAAGGGTGATGTTAGGGAAAAAAATCTTTTCACACAGCGAGTAGTTAGGGAATGGAATGCACTGCCTGGAGATGTAATGGAGGCAGGTTCAATTGAGACATTCAAGAGGGTATTGGATGGTTATTTGGATAGAAATAGTGTGCAAGGGCATGGGGAAAAAGCAGGAGATTGGAACTAAGTAATGATGCTTGTTTAACAAACTGATGCAGACATGAGGGGATGAATGGCCTCCTTCTGTAATCATGTGATTCTGAAATATCTATGCTGGTATTTCCCTTTTCATCACATGTTTGTGTTCCACCTGCATCAGTCTGTGCCTGAATGCATTCAGTCTTGGGCTTTGATCAAGCGTTTAGCAAATTGTTGGATTGTAGCTGAGAATTTCATTTCACACAGCACACTTGTCATTGCTGGACTGTAGTGATTAAAGTTGTATTGGAGAGAGGATTGTGTTTAAACCGAATGGGTCTCCCAGTACCCGAGATTATAGCTTCAATGCTCAGCCATTGAATAAATGAAGGAACTACTGTAGGCCAGTGCAGGTATAGTAAAGAATAATAAAATGTTAGGAATGCTAAATAAATTCTACTTCAGTTACCATGCACCACACACCATGAAAATATAATTTAAACATAAAGAGCTCTCTGTGCAAGTGCAAACATTCCAAGGAGCTGGATATATTCCTGCAATTTCCAATGCAATCAAAGATGTTTTCCTGCTACGTGTTTTGCTCTTAGTAAGAGCTGATCTTTATTTTGCTGTTAACACTTACTCTGAACCAATGCTCTGTTCCTTCTGTGTAAACATTGCCACACTCTTTGCCTTTTGTTCTATGACATTCTCGTGTCCAATCTTCCTTGTCCTCTAACCTTTTAATGACCTTTCTTGTTCCACTTGTCACCCCTACCCACCCACCTTTAAAACCACATAAAAACTAACACATTTCCAGCCCAATTCAGTTCCAAAGATGAGTCATACCAGACTCGAAACACTAACTCTTTTTCTTTCTCCACAGATGCTGCCAGACCTGCTGAGTTTCTCCAGCACTTTCTGTTTTTATTCCAGATTTGCAGCATCTGAAGGTTTTAATTTTTATTTTAGCAGAAGGAAGGTCTGATGACCTCAGAAAGTCTGTCCTGAAATATACACTTTGAGAAGGCACAAGTCAGAGCTCCTCAAACGTGTTCCCCAAATAAGTGGATCATCTGAACCTTAACTCCTTTACCTATATTTGGCTTCATGTTGTCTTGGTACCTTTACCCAAGAACCTGTTCCTCTCAGGTTTGGAAGTTTCACTGACCCCACAGTATTTCCATTTGAGGGAGAGAATTTCACATTTCCACTACCCATTGTGTGAAATGTGCATCCCATTTTCATTCTGAAATGTTCCACTCTAATTTCAATATTCCCTTGCTGTACATCACTTCAGCACAGAAAATACTTTCTGCTCTAGAAATCTAGTCAATCCTTTAATCTTTGTTGGGAAAACACTGACAGAAACTGCACCCACTGCTTTTGGGCAACAAACTGGCAGCATAAAGCATCAAAGTTAGTGATAACATCGAGACCACGTGGTTCTCCTTTCTCAGTCTTTACAAACACACAGCTGGAGGCTCTCTGAGGGCAAATTGTTCTGCAAAGGAAGCAAATGTGATGTAAGAAAAACCACTAACCCAGTGAGTAGTTTGGGTTAGGGAATGCACTGCCTGGGAATGAGATGGTTCATTTAAGGCATTCAACAGGTTCTAGGAAGAGGCAGGAAATTGGCACTAATTCAAAATGCTCAAAGATCTGGTGCTGGTACGATGGACTGAACGGCCTCCTTCTGCACTGTAACAATTCTGTAATTCTGATGTTTTGGCAAAAGCAACTGACCATTGGTTACAGAGTCATTGTCATTGTTAATGATTCAACTGGTGAGTGGGGAGAGTTTATAACCACAGTATAAACAAAACAAGCAAACATCAAACTGACCAGTTCCTTGGGGGGATTCACTTGAGATGATATGACAAAGTGTCAATTCATATTTGTGTTTCAGGAATGAAGTTCACTACACACTTAAGATAAAAGGGACAATGTTTCCAGATGGGTTCAGGTTGCGGTGTCATTATTCACATGTTTCTGGTTCCCCAGTCACACAACCTTTAAATCTCTCATTCTCAGTGTCTCACCTTTCATATTGTTTCCTTGTTGATCTTTTGAACTTCCCTTGCCCTTTGCCAAACTGTTCATTATTTCAGCCTTCTGCTTAAATTTCACTGCAAACAAAAGAAATGTTACAGATGGAGAAGGTTCTGGAATCATTTTGAGTGTCAATGGCCAACCACTCTGAACCACAGGAAGGATGCCTAACTTTTACAAAATTGCTGGGCAAAAACACAGAGAGGGGGATTATGACAAATGTGAATATTGCTCAGAGGATACTGTGTGAGCAACTGTGGAGAGTGTTTTGAAGGGTTTTTCAGGTAAATTGAGAACTCCACTACAAGACAAATAAAGGCCAAGGGACTATTGCTGATGTTGTTGGCTCTTTCCACCTTGTATTCCTCAGGCCTGTCACCAGAATACCACCGTTTGAACATAAGTTAAAACAACCCTACCAGCATGCCTTTTATTTTTTGCCAGGGCATCTGAACTAAAGATGAAAGGAAAACTTTCTTGATGGGCTGAATGGCTTCATTTCGTGTTGAATCATTCAACGATTCAGCCAGCAGCATGAACATTGTTCAGGGGAGAGTATTGGGCGAGTCAGATAAGTCCAATGTGCTGGTTAAACGCACTGGAGAGGAGACAGGGTTGTAATGTATCCCTTTAACTGGATCAATGAAGGTGAAAGAATTTGGTCTTATTCCATCCCTGCATCCCTGCCCTATAAACCTCTTAAAGTGACATCTGCAGATAAATTTAATCTTCCTTGAACAAGTGAACCAAGGAACAATGATCTAATCTGCACTTACTTAAACCAACAGCTTAACCAGAGCTGAACCTGCAGTATCCCAGCAATAATCCCTGATTCTTAATGATTCCATGTAAGGGTCAGAGAAATGGATCCAAACTGCTTCCCAAATCCCACAGGCACTTTGGAGAATTTTCACTGCATTCCCATGTTAAACCAGCTGTGCTGGACCAATCACAGTCACCATTTCGAAAGCAGGGCAGAGAGACATTCAAGAGGGTCTTTTATCCACAGTGTACACAGAGACAGCGTCTGTCTGTATCAGGGAATACTTAGGGAGGAATTTCTCAGCAAAACCAAGTTAATTTACTTTTGGCCACCTCCAGGCAACCTCAGCAGGAATCTGTCCCACACTGAGCACCTGAAAAAGGTCCCATGCTCAATGAGAGGTTCTGTCCTTATTCACTGACATTTAGTCCAATGTGAATCAACAAATCACAGCCTGTCCTTAAACACTGAACAGGCAGAGTATCATAAAGGGACACAGCACACAGAAGTCCTCATTCACAAAACACATGTGGCTACAGAAAGTGTACAGACAGATACATGTGGGACCATGCATAAAGATTCACATACAGTGCACTCATGTGCACACATATGTGCATGCATACACACACACACACACACACACATACTTTCTCTCTCTCTCTCTGGCACATAAACACTCACACAAATGCTCAAAGACACACACATGCACTCTATCACTCTCACTCATGCATTTTCGCGCGCAAACCCATGTACTCTCTCGTGCACATACACTTACTCTTGTGTGCACACACATACTCTTGCGCACACACGCTCTCGCGTGCACACACAGACTCTTGTGTGTGCACACACATTTGCACGCGCACACACTCGTCACACACACAATTGCACACGTGCACACGTGCACATGCACACACTCTCGCACACGCACACACTCTTGCGCGTGCACACACTCGCTTGCACACACACACTCGCGCACACGCACTCTCGCATGCACACAAATACTTGTGTGCACACACACTCTCTCACACGTATACACACAATTTTATGTGCATGAACACACACAATCTCTCTCACACACATGTTTGTGTGACACCCCTTTCCAAGGACGCTGCTCTCTGTTATGGTGTGACACGGTGCTAAATGTAACACTTCTGATGTGTGCCGACTGTGAGACCGCACCATCCTGACATCACATGGTCTAACCGGCTTCTGTGATGTTGTGATCTCAGATTTCAGTCGTGCTGATCCTCACAATAATTTTGTTTCGTCCCAGAAAGATAAGGCCTGATGCTGGGCGATGTTCCCTAGCCAACCCCCATTGGCACCCAATCACTGACAAGGTCAGTTTTGACAACGTTTTCTATCACAGGCCCAAATGTCCTCCCTCTGCATGGGAGTAATTCTGTGACTTGTCTGTAAATAGGCTGGAGTATTTCTGGAAAACCTTTGTGCTGTTTTTCTGACTTTTCTCACATCCTAGGGAGAGCAGAGTTATCGATTGGCAGTTCCCTCCAAGCCATCTAAAAATATGGTTGGGGTCATTGTCGGGGTTAGTTTTAGAGTCAGGGTTAGATCAGGGTTAGAGTTATGGTTAAGGTTAGGTTTAGGGTGCGATATGGTTAGGGTTAGAGTCAGGGTTAGGTTAGGGTTAGGGTCAGTGTGCAATGGATTAGCATTAGGGTTAAGGTTAGAATCGGGATTATGTTAGAGTTAGGATTAGGGTGAGTAGCGGCAGCTCCTCTGGGACTGGAACGATAGGTTTAGGATTATGGTTCAAGTTAGATTTAGGATAATGGTTGGAGTTAGAGTTAGGATTAGGGTTAGGGTTAGGATTATAGTTAGGGTTCAGGTTCAAGTTAGGGTTAGGATTAGGATTAGGATTAGGGTTAGGGTTAGGATTATAGTTAGGGTTCAAGTTCAAGTTAGGATTAGGATTGGGGTTTGGGTTCAAGTTATAGTTAGGGTTAGGGTTATGGTTAGAGTTAGGACCAGGATCATTGTTAGTGTTAGGATTAGAGGTAGGATTAGGGTCAATGTTAATGTTAGTGTTAGGCTGGCAGTGTCAATATCTCTGGGCTGGAGCCTGACAGTGCAGAGTGAGAGGCATCAGGGAAGGCAGGCTCAGTGTGCTGCCCCTTGCCATCACAGGCTTGTGCCTGGCCCTAGACTGTGACAGGAGACCGGATAATGCTCCCAGCATCTCAGTGCAAATGGCTGTGAGTGGTCTCCTCGAAGCTTTGACAGCACAACCTGTCTGTCACCTCACCCTTACTGAGCACCTGCCATGAACAAGCCTTTACCCTGCGCAAGCTCGTGCCGCTCTACCCAGCTGCACACAGACAGCAAGGCCCAGAGTGCTGGCAGTATCTGAGCTTGGAGCAGCAAATCTGTGACCCAGTAAATGGAGGCCTCCTGTTCAATGCTGTTGTCTCACTCTCCTGCAGCTGCTTTGCCACATCAGATCACAGCTGTTTGAAAGCAGAAACTTTGGAGATGATTGGGTGGGAACCAAGAGATCAGTCACATCTCAGACGGCAGGATCGAGGTGAGCTGGGAGCTAGGAGCTGAGAGTGTCAGGGACATCACATTACACTCAATGATCTCAGTGACCTGGGCACTGATAAGCCACTGTGTCCTGCAGAAGCGGGGCCTGGAGAGCCACTGATTGTTTCTGTGATGCACTGAGCAGAGGCAATAATGTGGAGGCAGTGACAGTGGGTCTGAGACTGAGAGTGAGAGTGTGATGGAGTGACCTGTGCGGTAGGGTGAGAGTACAGAAATGCCAGTGACTAATGCTGGGTGTCTGATGGAGGGACGGTGCATTGAGCAGAATGAGGGGCTGTTGAGAACTGGATTGGGGAGAGTCATGTGAAGATGCTTCACTCATGTGATCTCTTCAGGATCCTCATGGCACTGCTTCCAGGTCCTTACATCCAGATCTTTCTGCCACCTGCTGCCAGCCCTGCCCCACCTCCAAACCAGAGTGCGACCTGACCCTTCTGCAAAACCATAGCATTTCTCCCCTTGCAGCTTCTCCCACAAATGCCCCCAGTTTAGCACAGCTCATCCTGGAACCCTCTCAGTGCCTTGGTGTTCACTATGCCATAATTTAAATTGCAGCAAGATTCTTTAATGCACCTTCCCTTTAAAAAGGACAGCTTGCCTTTAAGAAGAACAGGCTGGCTGTATGAGATTGTTTGTGGTCAGTGCCACTGAGCCCCTCCTGCTGAGCACAGAGACATTCGGATGAAGGAAGCAACATGTGACCCACTCTGTCAGACAATGCAGTCCTGCAGACAAGGTGCCCACCTCCACTAGAGTGTCTGCCAGTTGGTAACAAATCCTGGCTTGGACTTCCCAAAAAGAGGCACATGGGTTTCTCATGGTCAGTGAACAAACCAATAACCCACTGAAAGTGTTCAATGATGTTGAGCTTCTACAGATACATTCATGGCCTAGAACTAGTGTCACATCTGAGATAGAGTTTCTACCTGTTTGTAGTCAATGAATCCAGGAACATTTGGCTCAGAGGTGAGAGTTTTATCCATTGAGCCAAGGAGTGAGCATCTGGTAAAAGTATGGTCAGGGGAACGAGTAGGAAAGGAATAAGCAAGAGTGCCAGCCTGGGACTTGTTCTCCTTCTCCTACTTTATTTCCCGGAGATCCAGATTAATATGTAGAGCAGTGATTAAACAAAAAAAATCTCAAAACATGGCCATCGTGGCTGGGATCTTTCATGTAAAAAGTTTAGTAACTATAATTCTAGCAGACGATAGGGCTGCTCTCTCACTAGAGAGAGATGACTGGTGGTGATTTAACCTGAGGGTCACTGCACTGTAGGTGAGGGGAGAGGTTGAGAAGGAGAGTCCAGTGAACCTTCATCAGAACTGAACACATCTCTCCACAGATGCTGCCACACCTGCTGAGTTTCTCGAGCAATTTCTGTTTTTGTTTCAGATTTCCAGCATCTGCAGTTCTTTATTTTTTTTTGGCTGTTACAACATGTCAGTTTCTGCCCTTGTAAGGTGACCTCAGCTGGTACAGGAGCTGAAACCACACTGTTGGTGTTACTTTGCATCACAACCCAGCTGTCTGGGTCAATGGAGATTAAAGAATGTTATTCATTGTTCTGTCAAGACGTGAGAGTCATAGAGATGTACAGCACAGAAACAAACCCTATTTGTCCATCCCAACCATATGAAGGATATTCTACACTTTCCACTATCACTATAGTAAGAAGTGTTTCCTAATTTGTCTCCTAAATGCTCTGACTCTGATTTTGAGGTCATCTGCTCAAGACTTACCCACCAGTAG